ATTTCGAGCTGATAACTAATTTTCAGTTTTTTGCAAGATTTACAATCACGTTGCTAGTTTTATCAGTTCGCAGTGGCACTCTTTCGCAGAGCAAATTGTTCCGGCCGTGTGAATATTGCGATCCCTTCTCTGCTGCAAATTGATCGTTGCCCTTGTGTGAACTGTCATTGCAGCTACTGAAAATACAGTGCTTTAATATAAATAAAGCTTCCACAGAAGGACAAATATTATTTTGCCTTCAGGGTATTGAACACATTAAGGCAACTGGGATATGCTTGTTCTTAAAAGCTCCTAGATTTTATTTTTTTACACAAAGCACTGTCTTTGTTTATTCCTGGGGCCTGTAATAAGGCACATCAAATGACGTCAATTCATATGAAGGCTACACACTCGAGAATATTGTACCTAGTTTGTAAATAATAACACGATTTTTTATTGACATGATTAAGCTACAGCTGGTTAAATGTAAGAACTATATTGATGCTCATCAGCCTATACTTAGGAAAGCACAGCTTTCCTAATAATTCCATGAAATTATTATGACTATGCTTTCTTTAATGTAGAAAGGTCGACTTATTTTGACATACTTTTAGATATTTAGTTTAGTTTTTATACATTCTCTAGAAAAATATATATATATCTTGATTTGGCTGATCTTTGGAATTTATTGCCAGAATGCGAAGAACAGAAGACAACTGTCATGTTATATTTTTTTGGGCTGAGCTCACCCGCTTCTGTGGCCAACTCCCCATACGTGACACGACGACGAGCATAGCTCAATGGCATGAATGGTCCTACAACAAGCCAACAAGCCACTCTGGAAAAATACGTACAAACGAGCTCGATTAACATGTGTGTACAAATTAGTTTTTATTTAAATTTATTTTAGGCGGATGTAAAGACAAAACTTTCCACGAATGTTTATATTTAGTTATAAAATGCAATTTTTTTTTAGTTCATTAACACAGTCATTTGATTGTGGGGACCAGCATGCCATACAGTAGAATTGAAAGTAACTGCAGTACAAGGGTCAGCAAATGGGCACAGAGAGAAAATATGTTAAAGTGTATTCAGATAATTCAATTTAAACTTGCCCAATGTTGATACAAATCACTTTTTGGATGACGCTAAAAGTGTACGACTGGGTGTAACATTTATTTTTCTAAGTATTAGTTACATTTGTACCCAGCTAAAAGAGCACAATTTGTCCCTGTTAGTGTAGAAATATATATCGTCATTTGTGTTTTTCCCCCATATTTTCTGTACAGTGTAGACAATATGTGAATGGTCCATCCCACAGTTTACAGCATGGTACACGGAGCGTGATGATCACAACATCTAACATAAGCTGTTTGTGCTTTAATAGTTTCTAGATGTTCTTTAACACTCGGTTATTGGGATATGTAACAGAAACCTATTTCCGCGCCATGTCCGTATCATCTCATTGCCACTAACTCGCCCGTATATAATTTTAAGTAAAATAAAAAATGTATAATAGCATTTGCATATTTGCAATGCAGTCACGTCTAATCCCTATCAACATTTTAATTTAACAACCAGAAGTCATTATTTAGATATATGCACACGCCATAATCTTCCCCAACCATATTATATTCATGACTATCCTAAAACTTGTCTATGTGCAATAGGTGACTAGCATTACTTTTGTAATGGTAATAATAATGGTACAAATCCTTGAGGTAAAAATAGAGCCATATGTAATCACACATACATCTTTTTGAAGGTCATTCTAATACATCCCTTTTTGAAGTATCAAAATGGCCTCGTCGTTTGATCTCTTAAGTACTTGATATGTTCCAAGAAGTTACAATGGAGCCTTTCTTCAAATACTGTGCATTCAATGTGTATTGTTCTATTGAAAAAGATCATAAGAATCATGACAATATCCTTTGTGCCACAATTACAGAGTATTTGGAGATTGGCAGCAGCTCCAACCAAAGTGATATTGCTGAAACACTTTCAACGTCTTTCAATTTCCATCTGTTTTCGAACAGGTTCATTACAAAAACATATCCCTAGAAAATGTTACTGGTATACTTATCTGCGTATGACACAGCATTCCACGAGCATCCCATCGAGTATTTTATAGTCAACTACACCCTGGAAACAACAGTTTGATTAAGTACATTACAATGTTCTTTGGGTCTTTCGGTAAAGTCGCGTAGATGGGTAAAAAAATAACAAAAACTACAACGTTGCGATCGCAACACAAGCGGTTGTTATTTTCTTTGAGCCTATCTATGTGACTTTAGCGAAAGACCCAAAGAAAATGAATTCCTGCAGTCATGAAAGCTTTAAGTCTACATTACAATGACTTTTGTACCGTGCAATAAAACATGTAAATGCAAATAAAGCTATGCTGTTTGGTTACATTTGGCAGAAAATATGATCATACCCCGGTAAACAAGTGACTTGCGAGTACTGCCAGTGAGAAGGCTTATGTGCCCTTATGAGAATTTTGCTACCCGCTAACACAGGTGCAAACTGCTATTCAAGTCTAAAGCCTTTAATGTTGGGGTGCTGTGGTCTATGTAATATAAAGAAAGTAACTCCTATTACAGGGTTAGTCAAAGTTACCAGAAGCAGTTGCACGCATGTCATTCACAGTATACTGTACCACAGATACACAGAAAGATACTTTTAAGTGTTAACCTAAATATTTACTCGCTTGGTTATTCAATTTCCCGAAAACTCTACAAGATGGTAATGTGTTCCAATGCCAGTAAATCAAACATTTAAATGCTGAAGCTTTAGTTTATCTCATAAAAAAACAGCTTGCATAACTCTTCCCGTTCTCCCCTGCCCCCTTAATTGTTTTATTATATATTTTAAACATCTTGAGAATTGATCAACAACACTTTGATGCTCAGTGAGTAATGCAGAAGTTGGGAAATGACTCACAGGCTGGATTAAAAACAAAGAGAAGATGGACGTGATAGATGGGAAATGGTGGATGGCTTTGCATTGCAAAAGACGGAGTTTTTGCCCCTCTGCCATGACCAGCCAGGCTCGCCTTACGACTGGCTACATGTGGAATGAATTTAGGCCGGATGCAGGCGGGCGGCACGTTCTAGTATGCACAGAAATCTGGCAGTGTCCCATGCTTTCCTTGGATTATAGCGGCAGGCAAGCTACGGGGAAGGCAGCAAACAAAAGACCCCCAACTTTGTTGCTTTTCGCATTCTGGTGGTCTTCTATGAAATGTCACGGTTGGATTTCATAGTGGCTTGTCCAGAAGACCTGGCGTGGGCTAGTTCAAAGCGTGCCATGCCACCGTTGTGCAATCGGTGAGCATGCTGCAGCCCGTGGGCGTTTTTAAAGGCTGCTCGATGCAAGCGTGCAGTGGCAGCACAATTTCAGCAACGCAGTTTCCCCCAAAGAATTTGAACTCCCCACATTGGCCACATCAAGGATTGGGGGGATATGGTCATAAAGTTGGAATTTAAGGCCGTTTACATTTATGCAGTAAAAATAAATAAATATGAAGCATTCAAATAATGGCACGCAAGGGATATGAATGTCAACATCTTGCAGATGGGAAATTTGCGTGGAAAATTAAGTCTACTAATGCAAGGGCATATGCTAAAATACAAGAATGCGAGGAATTAAAGTTGTAAGCAAAAATGTATCCAGTTAATTCCGTCCAAAGACTATCTTCAACTGATTTATGTGCAGTGTCATCTTAAGTTATTCTTGTGAGTTCATGGCGTTGGTGCACATTTAGTGTGTGTAGTTAAAGGCCGAAACACATAAACATTTCCTGTTCTCCTGCATTTCCATACAACACAACATCATTACAAAACTATTTTGTCTAATTACCAAATGAAGGTTTGTAATTCATATCTGATAATTATTCAATTTGAGTTTGTCTGGGAAAGCTTATCAATGTTATTCTTTTTCACCAACTCCTTTGTCAGTTCTTGCTAAATATTTAACTTGTATTTTTGTAAGTGGAGTGATAGTGTGAAGTGTTCTACTCCTACTAGTAATATTCCTCCTCCAGAATTTGGCACCAAAGGCTGTAATATTATGAATATGTATTCGTCAATCAACTATCATTATATTTGCTTACCTAATATCTGTCATCGTGCACATTTCGTTATTACCGAACATATGAGGCTAACATTTCAGACACTTGCATATGTTTAATACAGCCAAAGATGTTAGTTTAATACATGTGTTTTCATCAGGCAGTGTTAATGATCGTGAGGTTGACTGTAGTATTTTCTTTTATACCACTCGATGCTGCCCATCGTGAAATGGTTAGCATGCTGGAATTTCATCCTGAGGCCTCTCGTTCGGTACAACAGCTCCAACAATGGGCACATTTCCAAAACCCCCTTCCTCTGTCCACCCAGAAGTTATAAATCATTGCACCACAGGTCGTCGATCGGAAGGTCACGTGTGGTGGGATAACGTGTGGTGGGGACTCCCACCTCTCCAAAGAACTCTGGCCAGTGTGGAAGAGGTCAAATTCCCGAAAGAGGGGCTCTTCTAGCGCTTCCCTCTAGTGGATGCTCTTCTGCTTTCATTGGAGTGAGCAAGACATTGCAGAGCTGCCCCTTTACCTTTGACTAAGAAAAGGTAAAAAAAAATATTTCATGTTGCCAAGCTTAAACTTACTGTTGGATCAGATGGTGAAACTACTACTGTGGCACTAAAAAGAATGCGTATATTTGTTTTAATGTAAACTTGAGTTGTGTGCAGTCATTGGGCAACAGGGTTTAGATCAACAACTCACCACAGCCCCATCTCTTCCAAGCATTTTTTTTCGCCAGCATGAAATGGTACGCCAAATACTCTCTTTGAGGGCCTCTTTTGTGTTGGCCCTTCTGCCCGCAGTGGAAGCCGTCCCACCAGCAGTGGCACGAGCAATAAAATTCAGGGCTGCGCCTTAATATTTGATACCACTGCCAATGTAGTCCTGTACATTGCACTAACTTACATCTTGTTGTGTGGTGTTATTTTTCTTGCGTCAGAGTTTGCAGAAAACTGCACAGTGACACTGTGTCGTCACAAGTGTGCGGTGACGAGGGAAGGCCCCGCTTGTTACTGCACCGTCGGTCACGAGGTTACCCCGGATGAGAAAGGCTGCAAAGGTACCTTGCAGCGACAGCTCGACATTATTATTATTATTAATTGAGCTTCACGAATCTTTTGGATGTATGTATACTGATCAAACCTGCCAAGTTTTTGTCAAAAAAATAGCGCATTTAAAAAAACTTTTTCTTCTGTAAAGTGCTTTTGTATTTCCTCTTGATTTTGATGGATGTGAATGTCAGTCTTTGGTGGCTCTGTTTTAAAAAAAAACAACGGGCTATGATTGATGAATTTTACGTCTTTCACTATTTTAGATCACAAAAAAGTATACCGTTTAGTGTCAACAAAAGTGCAGAGCTGTCAGTGTTTTTAGAATGTATTATTTGTAAATGTGAGCATAATGATGATTGCTAAGGCCTTATCATCTTAGACATGTTGTGGTTGCCTGTAGCTGTATATTTTTTACATGGGATTCACTCAGTGTCATAAATACCATTGCAATCACATGGTCAGCAAGTGAGCTTTAAATGTTTTTCCAATAACAACTTTTTATGAATGTCTTATTAAAATACAATTGCAAAGTAAAATTTGAAAAATACCCAAATATAGCTTTATAAACAACCAAATGTTGACACTATCCAGAGTGTGTACTGTATATAATATGTTAGTACAGTGAGTTGCACATTGGGAAAAAAATCCACATTTTATTTCACCAGGAATAAACTTATTTATACATTTTAAGAAAATAATCCCAACCAACTGGAAGCTCATTTGTATTTCACATTTCTCCAATAGCACAAACACACCAATGTTAGTGATTCATATAGAGTCTGTACTCTAATCACTACTTGTTCACATGTTACATAGTAATTGTAGGCAAATTGTATCTCTACTGAAAAACGAAATGTAATTATTTTACTGCCAAATATACAATTTATGCTCAACTGGTCTACACAGGTCAACTGCATTTGTGGCCGGATGTGACACTGTTGCTATACATTTTTTATTTGCGTTGAGAAAAAATATCATGATCAGTCACATCATAAAGGGAGATGAAATAAATCAGGAGCGGTTGAGGAAGAACACACTTTTCCATTGCTTAGATTTTACGGATGGTTGGATGGGCGTTTTTTTTCCTCTTTTAAATCATAATATATAACACTGATGGGCCCTGTTTTACTACCTACAAGTGTGTTTAATGACACTGCCTTCCTCCCCCATGTACTGATAAAAGGCAAACGCACGCTGTGTCTCACCCTATAACCCCCCCCCCGCCCCTCCAAACTCCGCAGACTTTGACGAGTGTGCCGTGTATGGCACGTGCAGCCAGAATTGCCTAAACACCGACGGCTCTTACTCGTGCAGCTGCGTTGAGGGGTACCTCCTGCAGCCCGACAGCAAGTCCTGCAAGGCCAAGAATGGTGGGAACCTATGCTGATTGCAAACACCATCTGATTTGTCTCTCAACTTGTTTCGTTAATGCATGTCATATTTAATGTATTTTTTTTGTACCCTTGTACATATATTTTGGATGCCGTTGTAGTATCACGGTCAGCACACTGCCGGTGTGGCAGTTGAAACGGTGGGCAAAAGTGTCTTTGGTCCTCATCCCCTGGCGTCTGTCCACCAGGCAACGTTAAGCTTCGCATGTTGTGGTGTAAAGTGTGGGTACTGCCACCGCTTGCGTGAAGAATCGGGCGAATTATACGTGAAGGAGAGCTCTCCAGAGCTCCCTCTAGTAGAGGCCTTTGCACTAGCAGTGGCCTGAGCAAGCAATTGCCTTTTACTTAATAAACTACAGTTCAATTATAACCTTCAGATAAGGCACTTGTGCTGCAGATGGATGACATCAACGTTTGCTCAGAATCTCATCATTAAAATTCAGAGCTATAATTGTAAATGGTTTTCTTACCCTTGTTTTTCTTCTTGAAAGTAAACCCGACATTGGTTCCCCCATAGGAATGTGGATCGTTTTTTTGTACATTTTACTGGATTGAGGATTTTAAATAGAGATGCTTGCTTGAGCCCAGGAAAGATGGAATCGGTTCACACCTCATCATAACCTTCCTCTTTGTCTGATTTTGGCGAAAATGTTTCTCGTGTGATGTCTCTTATCAACGGTGGGTCCGACTCGCCAAGGCAATATGTTTGGGCCTTTTTGTCAAGATGTCAATCTTTCTGACCATTCGATTATTATTATTTAAATCGCTGTCGTCGCCTTTTGCAGACCCGGTCGACCGGCCAGCGGCTCTGCTCATCGCCAACTCCCAGAATATTGTGGCAACGTACCTGAACGGCAGCATCGTGCCGGGCCTAACACCCGTGGCGACGCGGCAGGCGAGCGCCATGGACTTCAGCTACAGCGAGGAGATGGTGTGCTGGGTCAACGTGGGCGACAGCCCCACGGAGAGCAGGCTTCACTGCGCACGCATGGCAGGCTTGAAAGGCTTCTCCGGCGAGCGTGTCATCAACATTTCTCTCAACGTTCACCGTGAGTTCGTTTCGCAAGCACAACCATGTGTGTGTGTTCGTGTTTTCAAGTTCCATCCGAAAATGTGGAAGTGTTTTTGCCAAACATAGTCATAACCGAGTGTGTGCATTTATTATTAATGTGTGGCATGGTGTTTATTGTTTATTTGTTTCTTGCATTGGGTGCACTTTTTTTCTCACGTTGCTGATGATGACTTTTTCTGAATAATTGCATGCGAATGTCACGTGACAATCACGTGCAGTGATTACATGTATGCATAACACGAGCAAGATGACGTCCAACATGGAGATTGAGCGATGTTGTTGACTTGTGTGCAGGAATTACATAACATTGTTGCATTACGAGTCTGAGGGATTATGTTGGCTTGGAGGCTTTATCCAGCAGCAGATTGACAAAAGGGATGGACATGTACACATGGCATGCAATAAGACACTAATTAATGTTCATACACGAAGCTGCAACATATCAAAGACAATTAATGACAATTCATTTGTCAGCTGTATATTTTTACGTCGACATCTTATGTAAATTGCATACTGAAATCATACAAATTTTTCTATGCGTGTATTTGAATTATTACTTAAAAAGGCTTCACGCTGATTTCAAAGGCTGGAAAACAATTTCCATGTTTTAAGTGGTATATTATGATAGATCGTTGTTTGTTCATGCAAAGTGTATTTGATTTTTAAGTTGTAATTCCATCTACATAACATTCACTTTTTTGTGAATACTGTCTAGTAATTATTATTGAACTACTATTATTTTCAATATGGATTTGATTACTGAACAATAACTTACAAAACTAGTTAAATGGAAAGCCATATGACACTATTTATTGGTTAAAATTTTAATACTCTTATTTATCCATTATAAATGTTTTCAAAACCTAAATGGTTAAATATGCGTTTGTTCCATCAGCATTAATGTCAGCTGTCTTAACAGTATTGAATTATTTATATCTTGTAAATATATATTTAATACTAATGGCTTTTACATTGATATTTCAGGAAGATAATCAAACCGTGGCAGGAGAATTTGCGTAAAGAAATCTTGACACGGAATGTAATGGCTGCAATGGTTTGTGAACTCGACTGCTTGGGAGTGCAGTATTTCACAGAATCTTTGACCTGGGGTGACAATAAGGATATTTTAGTGCCCATTCATTTCACCTTGTTTCCACAAGATAATGTATGCCATTCATCTTACATTATGGCAGCCTTGTATATGAATATGACATTATTTTTATTCTACCCCAATTTGCCATACAATTCATATTGAAAGAATATTGTGAAGCGAGAGTTACATGCATAAAACTTTGAAGCTCGCAGTCCAGATATGAAGACATTGGATATTAGCTTCAAACGTCTGTATGGCTTGGCATGGGTGCTGTGCCACTTGAATGCCTGCACATTCAGTGAAGGCCTGTTTTTATTGTGTGTCCAGGAGAAGCCCTTTTTAAGCTTGTTAGTCTCTCTCTCTTTCGTATAAATATTAATTAAGTAGCAACAATAAATTGATGTCCAAGCTGTACAATCCATCTTGCTGGCTTCAGAGAACAACGAGTGCATGAGCAGTGAGCACCCGTGCTGCATTTGCAACAGCGACAGGGTTCGCACAGTTGGAGCAGCACATGTGACAGTAATGAACCTGGCGGCATTTGTATTGGCCTTTGATCTGTCATGTGCTCCCAGAAAAAAATAGGACCGGGGGATGGCATGCAAAGCTTTACTGATATTGGATTTATACATGGTGGCTGAAAATGCCACCTCCTTTTCAGTTACAAACGAGCCATCTAATTGGCTCACGGAAATAGAGCCAGGGTTTCAACCCCACCACAAAGATTAGGTGCATGTAAGGCAATGTCTTCGTCTTGCAAATGTCAGCAACGAAATTGAATTCAGATTCATCTTGGCAGTCGTGCAAGATGCAATATTTTTTTCTCACATCATTTGCAATTTGCACACTGTCTGAATAACTCCTAACTTAGTTTTCAAGAATAAGCGGGTTATGCACCCCTTTGTACGGCCTACGTAAAAATAAAACACAGACTTGTTAACTGAAATATAATACTTGCTATTTTATTCGTATTATTCCTACGTGCTAATCTTTTTTGGAATCTATTTAAACTATTGGTCAAACAAGGCAAGGGGAAGGAGGTCCAGATGGTCAAATGAGCAGTTCCATTAATGTTGGTGTATTAATCAAGTCGGACAGCTGGCTGCATACCCTTGAACTCGGGAAATATTTTTCCTGAGCTTTTCCAGTGGCTTTACCTGAAGGGGGGGGTCAAGTAAAATATTGACGGTCATTAACTTGGTTTGATTGATCATGCGCAAACTTTCTGCAAAAACAAAAAAAACGGATGTTCAATTACTTTACGGCACAATCGCTTGCAGAACGTGGAGACAATGAGGGGAGGGTTGGTGTGGGAACCAAACTAAGAGTCGAGAATCCCGTTCACCAGAAGCCAACAGTGCTTCGCTCTTTCTGAAATTTAATTAAGAACACGCTGCAATTTTACAAGAACCGGCGTTGCATGTCCCTATCACCGGTGTTCATTCCACACTATCAAACTGGGAATTATTATACGGATTTTTTTCTAACAGAATGCGTGCAGAATTGTTCTTTTACTGTTTTGGCTCAATGGGCATTTTGTAATAAACAAGTAAATGTTTTATTCCTTGACAAGTTATACGAAACATGTAAACAGAAAGGCAGCCAAACCTTAGCTGTCTCCCCCCCCCCCCCCACACTTTCATTAGGGGAAAAACAATGTATTACGCATGACTTCTGTGTTCAGAGTAAGGTGAATAAGCATGTTATACACATTTGCATAATGTTTATTTAGAGTTATCTTCTTTTTGCGGAGTAATATGCAAGGCATTTAATGCAATGCTTAGACAAAATTAACTGACACTTTTTGGGTTGAGACTAGAGTAACAGCAAATGCAATTAAAACTAAACGAAGTGCAACTCGTTCACCTGCAATACAAATGAGGAGTGATATTTATACTTTTCCGTGGAGAGCACATTGCATGAGAGAATTTGTTTTTTAATAAACACATTTCATGCATGAAAGAGTGTTCTCACAACCTTAATTACAGAACTCTGAACGAGCTCGCATGAGATGCCACATTGCCACGAAGCACAAAGAGTCTTGCTGTCATGTTCTATTGGAAAGGAATGTATCTCATGAATAAACTCAAAACATAATATCAGACCATTATTTAGTGTTGTAAATTATGTAAATCCTTAGAATTGTTATTTTTTATGGTATTTTTTTCCCCCATGGACAAAAAATTAACACATTTTCTGACCGACTGCAACTGAACATTCAGGAAAAAAAAGTTCTATGCTTGTAAGCTATTTGAAAAACAGGGTGAAAATGCCACATTTATTGTGCGTATATTTACGTCTTTTTGATGCATCCTTTGTCTATCCGTCCCAGCCAGCCAGCCAGCAAAACTTGTATTATTATATAGAGCCCTGACTCTCTCCACTTTTATCTTATCTCTTCTGAACTGTATATCCCATTTTTTCTCGATTTTTCGCTTTAATTCTGTTTCTATCTGTGTCTCAATCCCTCTGTCCTCCCTGCTTCCTCTACTGTATATCATCCACTTTTCTTCTCTCCCTGCCTGTTTCTCTCTCTCTCACCTATCACTTAATCCCACATCTCCCTTTCCCTAATCCTCTCATCCCACTACTTGTCACATTGCCTCGTGTGCCCCCTTTCCCCATTGCCCTTTCTCTTTCCTCTCCCTTCCATGCCCTTTCACTCTCCTTCGCCTCCATCTCCCTCCTTTGTTCTTATATGGTGTGGCGGCATGGGTATGATAGCGAGAGCGTGATGATATGGTAGCATGATAGAGTGTCCCACACATTCGTGTGTGGGACACTATGGAGCAGGAGCTATGCACAAATCTGGTTGGACACTGTGGGAATGCGACACCCAGCCAGACGGGAATTCACCTAGGTCATCCAGCCAGGATACATTTTTCTAATATAGTACGAGTGTGTTAAAGAGCAGCACAATCAAGCAATAAAGATTTGTTTTAAAGCTATGCTCTGCTGTAATGAACACATTTCTTTAGTTTATGAAAAATTCATACCTTCACAATAACCAGGTAGGCATAAAAGAAGAAACTCGTGGAATACAAACTGACCCCCCCTCCCCCCCCACAAATGAAATTGGCCATATATACAACTTGTCAATAAAAAATATATATCATGGGATCTTTTTTCCAGTATCAAAGTATGAAAATAAGAATAGGTTTTATCCTTTTCTGGCAATAAAGCAGGTATTAAGATGTTCGAAAGGATTCTATTTGGTGTTTCAACATCTTGACACCTGTTTTATTGCCAGAAAGGGCAAACCCTATTGTTATAAACCATATTCGAAGGGGAAGCAGTGGGCAGTCCACTGGCTTTGGATGGTCTGGAGCTGGTCGTCCTTCTAAAAGAGCTGTATAGCTCGGTGGGCCTCGGCTGAAATAACATCTGAATATAAACAAATTGACATTGTCTTCTTGGTTCTTTCGGTAAAGTCATGTAGAATGGAAATAATAAAATAATAAAAATAAAACATAATAAAATAATTCTCACGACGTTTCGGCCACAACGCAAGCAGCCGTCCTCAGGTGAAGACCAGGTCTGTTGGGGAGACAGCGTCTGAATGAGAAAATTGACATTGCATTAAAAAAAAACCTCATCTGGACTCATCTCCCAACCTCCCTCTTGACCAACCCGCACGTTGACCAGTGTGGTGAGGCACGGTCCAACTGTCGCCAAGAACGACGTGGCATGGGAAGGCCTTCATCCAGCAGTGGATTGGCAAAGAGCTGTGAATTTTTTTCATGTTATAGTTAATAACATTTTTAATTTCCTTACACGCCAAAGAGGGCAAAGCATGTTTTCATTTTTCATTCACAATTGAAGGAAACTGTTTCACTGACTGACTAGTATAACACATATCCTGGAAGTTTGTATATTTTTTCGAA